GGTCTACCAAGCACCACCAGGGATGATCCTGCCAGAAGAAATTGCTAAGCAAAGAGCAAGGAGTAAATCCTGAGCGCAGTTCGGTGGGGTCCAACAGTAATAAACAAATAAAATAAAATTTACAGACCCTAAAGATGCACAGATGTATCAAAAGCATTATTTTGAAAATGTTTTTCTACTACACCAAAGACAGAAGAAAAGTTTAGCAAATAAACGTGTGCCCCCACACTCCCTCTGGTGGTCCTTCACTCTCATGAACCAAATGTTTCCCCCCTCAAAACAAGAAGCAAATACTAAATTAAGCACAAAATGAACTTGCTCCAGAAACGATTATGGTCTTACAAATTTCAGCTGAATGCTGGTCAATTCTTATAACAAACTTCGTAAGTCACAAGTTATTATGAGTACTGGAATTTTAGTTTCAAATACTGCTAAAATATCCTTAATAGCCCGTTAGCCTGTCAGGCTACTTTTCTGCCCTACTATCAATTATTATAACCTGTTTCATTTGGCAGAACTGTTCTCCCACAGCAAATATCGTTTTTTTGTAAATTCAAGCACACTTCAATGTGGCTTTTGTTTTTAAATCAAGAGTTCTGTGATTTATATACCAATAGCTACTCAGTTTCCAATGTGTGTAAATTTAATTTTCTCTTTTTTTTTCCTTTTGGGTCACACCCGGCGATGCCCAGGGGTTACTCCTGGCTCTGCACTCAGGAATCACCCCTGGTGGTGCTCAGGGGACCATATGGGATGCTGGGAATCAAACCCGGGTCAGCCACGTGCAAAGCAAACGCCCTACACACTGTGCTATTGCTCCAACCCCAAAATTTAATTTTCTTTACAATTTTAGGGATAAATGTCCAAAGCTAAAGAACATACTACAGAGGGCAGGAGAAAGAGTACTGGGGATAAGGTGTTTGCCTTGCATGTGGCCAACAGTGTGGTTCAATCGCCCACTACCACCAAGAGTGATCCCTGGGTATAGAACCAGGATGGGTATTTGATCATTGTATAATTGAAACCCAAGCACAAAATTCGTAAGTCTACAACTGTACCTCATGATGTCTCACTAATAAAAAATTTTAAAAAATTAAAATAATTAAAATAAAGAGTACAGTTAAAATAAAAAAAAAAAGACTTCACTGTAGCGGGAAAGAGTATAACAGACTGGAGTACATGCTTCGGTCCCCTGAGCACAGGTCAAGACGCAGCACCAAGCTAGGAATAAACTCCTGAGTACTCCTGGGGCATGAAACTCCTGAATACTATTGGGTGTGAAGCAAAACAAGCAAAAAAAACAACCAAAAAAAAACACCGCAGGAGCTGGAGAGATAGTACAGAGGGTAGGGCACTTCATTTGCATGTGGCCAAACCAGAGTTCAATCCCTGCACCCCATACAGTCCCCTGAACCCGCCAGGACTGATCCCTGAACACAGAATCAGCAGTAAATCCTGAGCATTGCCGGCTGTGGCCCCCAAACAAAACAACACACAAAACACTGCAGAAAAATCTACAACTATTAAATAAGGAAAAACAACCTAATTACCAACCACTAGGTTAAGAAGAACTATAAGCTGTATATCTTATTGCTTAGCTTAAATAATTACAGAATTTGGTGTGCAAAGATATTTACAATATAGTACTTTGTAGGAATTTTGGGAAGAAAATATATTAAAGACCTAGAGATGATAGTCAGTGCCAAGTATATCTTGCAAATTCTTGTTAAATGGAACATACGAGTCCTTGGCAGTGTCATTTTATGTATTCGTGAAGCTTGCTTTCATATATAGTCCTATCTTTTGGGTCTTTATTTATTTAGAAATATTTGCCTATTCCAGAACTCAAAAGGATCCACAACTGAGGATTCGTGGAAATGTTTACAGGGTAAATGCGAGAATTCAACTGATGCTCGATATTGAAACTAAAATGTGGCTGATAATTTTATGACATGGTCTACCACAAGTTTATGTGGACACAAATCTAATTTTAAAAAAGCTAAAAAACAAATAAGAAAATGTACTTTTTATTTTAGAATGCATTTTATAATTAGAGCTCCTAAATATGCCTATATTTATTTATAGTGTCTTTAAGTCTCATCAACATTCTAATTTGCATAGCAATTAAGCAAATGTAGCCTATACCTTTTAAAGAACAGCACTATCCAAAACAACTGTCAGTCCCATATAAGACTCCTTACAATGGGATATTATTTACAGTGAAATTTCTTCTTACGAATAAATACGCTAAATTAAAACCATTTTGTATGAGGACTTACTCATTGTTCAAGTCATCTACTCTCTTACCACCATCAAAAAGTCAACTCAGGGTCTGAGAGAGAATACAGCAGACAGGACACAACCAGGTTCAAAACCAGGTTCAATCCCCAACACTAGAATCGATCTCCTAAGCCCAGCCAGGAATGATCCCAGAACAGAGCCAGGAATAAGCCCTGAGCACGGCTGGGTGTGGTCCAACAAGAAAAAAAAGTCCAACTCAAATTTAGCAAAAATAATTTCTATAGCTATGGAAAAAGGATGTTTGCTCTTTCCTAGATGATTCCTTATGAAGAAGCCTTTAGAAAGAGAATTAACCCCCAAAGAGTTGTTCTTTTCCAAACCAAAATCAAACAGAAAATAGAAGATTTAGGTACTAGTCGTATTCAACATTTTAGGTGTTTCACATTAAGCTGGTTAAATTTTTTCTAGCACTTTGTGTCTGTGTTGGTACGGGAGGACCATAGCTAGGTATCAAATCCAGGGTCTTAAACATGCAAGACAAGTCTTTTACCACTGGCCCGTATACTTGGCCCTAGCTTTTGAAAATTCATTTTAAGGGTCAGGTATGCTTCTTATTGGTAGATCACTTGCCTTACATGTGTGAGGCCCTGATTTGATCCCAGGCAGCACACACAGACACAAAGTCTTTTTTACAAAAAAAAAAAAATTAAAAATTCGCCCAAATTCCCATAATTAAAAAAAAAAAAAGGTAAAGATCCAGAAACAAAGTAGTGTGGTTATGGGAAAACAAAGACCTCATATCGGAGACACCTGCTGCTTTAGGTGCAATTAAACATTTTATAAAGGCCATCTTAATTTTTTAGTCTCATATAGTCACAACTAGCCCAGTGGTTAGTGTCTTTAGAAGTTACTAATTAACTGGTTAAGTAAAAGTACCATCCATGTGCCAATAACAAAGTAGCATAACTAAATTGTAAAAAACCTTTTGTTGAAAAAGAAATTAATCAGAGGCCAATGTGGCTCAGTGGTAAAGGACATGCATGCCTTGCTTGCAAGAGACCCTTGCTACCACACACGCAAAGAATCAAAACTGTATCTCTTAAGTCAGAGTCAAACAAGACACCTATTTTTTTTAAGTGGAGTAAGCTAAAATGGTGTTTGCCACAAATGACTGTTACTAAGAACCTTCAGTTTTAAAAAAAATATCATTTCTAAAGATGTCCTAAGCTGATCCGAGCCATTATTGTAAAATTCTTTAGCCATGATCAACTGGGAAAATGATAAATGCAAGTATGACAAAGACTTCCCGTGAGAACAAAGAATTTTTTTTCAAGTCTACCCTTGAATTTTGATTTACATTCTAAGAGAGAAAGCTACTATACTTCTCAAAAGTAAAGAAAAAAAAACTTCGTGGGTGGGTGGGACAGAACTCCCACGGACTATTAAAAATACTGGAAACTGCCTTCCTTTAAAAAAAGAAAAGAAAACTCTGCCTTCTTTGGCACATTGATTCCCTTGTCCCCAACCTAACAAAACGGGAAGACAATAAAAATAAACACTCCCGTCTAGGTCCTTCTTTTTTTTCTCTCTCTCTCTCTCTTCCCAGCGAGGCAAAAAGAAAGCTCCCATTCAAAGCTAAGCCTTATTCGCTGGAAAACACACTCCTGAAAAGTTCATCCAAAACCACGAGCTCCAAGTGCTGGGTGCAGAATTTACTGAACGGCGGCCAAACGCTGGACACGCTGTCCCGAACGGCTCGGGCCGGCTATCTGGCGCTGTGCATTCTGTCTTTACAACTTGTCCCTCTCCGCTGTGTTCTTGCCACCGCTGCAGAAAAAAGCGCTGCAAAGACACCGAGAGGTTCCCGCCGGCGGGTTCAGGGAAGAGAGAGAGGGAGAGGGAGAGGACAGGCCATCGCCCGGCCGCCCGCAACCCTCGCGCGCTCCGATGTGTTGGATCAATGAGCCCCGCGGGAAAGTGGGGGGGACGCGGACGGGGGGACACGGGCTTGTTCTTTCTAAGGTCCCCGGAGCGGATCGCGCGGGCGCCCCGGCGACAACTTTTGCCTCCCCCGCCGTTCACCTGGCGGGGCGCGATCACCTGTTCGCAGCCCCGCGCGGCCGCCGGCGCCGATGCTGCTCCGCGTCCCGGGGCGGCGGCAGGTGAAGGCGGCGGGGACGGCGCATCCGCACCGCGGCGCCCGGGAAGCGCAAACCGAAAGCCGGGCGGGCGGCGGCGGCTGCGGGCGTGCGGACGGGCGGGCGGGCGGACTCCGTTATCCCCGCTCCTCGGGCCGGCCAGGTGAGCGCGCGGCTCCGCCCGGCCCCGGGACGCCCAAGTTTTCGCTCCCGCCGCGCGCGCTTCTCCGAGGGTCGCGCCGCTCCCTCGGGGCGCTCGGGGGGTCGGGGGTGAGCGGGGAGGGCGGCCTCGCTGGCAGGCGCCGGGGCTCCGCGGGACCAGCCCGGAGCCGGGACCTGTCGGTCCCCCCCACCCCACCCCAGGGCGGGAAACAAAAGCCGGGAGAGGACGCGCGGGGGAGAAGCCGCCTCGCCCGGGCGGAGGGGGCGGCGATGGGGGCGCGCCCCGGCCCCGGGGAGGCGCCCGGGGGGGGTCCCGCACGCGGGGTTTCCCCGTCCGGCTGGAGCCCGCCGCGTCGCTCCGGGACGGGGAGGCGGGAGGCCGGCCGGCCGGCCAGTCCCGGGAGGGCGTCCAGCTCTCGGGCGCCCGCCCCATCCCTCCAGTGGCCATGGCGCCGGTACCTGTAGCCGCGGTGGCCGGTCCGCTCAGTCTCGCTCCGTCTCCCCCGCGCGCCGCTCACACCCTTGAGCCCGCCCAGAAGGCCGCCCGCGCGCCGGACGCCGCCGCCCGAGACTGGCAGCGCCCGCGAATCGGCCCGAATCCCCCGGGCAGCGCCCGGCGCCGTCCCGCCCCCGCGGGCCGCAGGACCCGCCTTCCATAGGGTCCCGCGGCTGTCAGTCCGCCCCCAAAAGGCGCGCGGGCTGCGGCTCCGACGCTCGCCATTGGCGGCCGCCGGCCGTCTATGCAAATGAGGCCCCGCCCCTCGTTCATTTGCACCTCCGCCTTAGAGTAACCTCCGCCTCTCCACACCAGCCCACGTGTCTGGCCCTTGGCCTTTGGGGGCCCGGGAGAAGGCCGGGAGGAAACTGACCCGCACCCCTCCACCACCCCCCCATCAGCATCTCTTTCTTACCCCCTGCGAAAGTAAGGCCGAAACGAACTAGTTGACTTCACAGCAGAATCATCTCTTTGAAAGCTCTGGCCTGGGGATGGAGAGGGGCCGGCCAGATTCTTTGTCTGGTAAGGAGACTCAGGTCAAGCCAGGAAACAGCTTCAAGAAGCCAAGGATGCCCACTCGGAACTGGGGGGAAATTCAGCACGTAGCCTTTGCCTCTGAACACGCAACGGCTATGAAACTTCATGCGTTGTTCAAACATGAGCGCCTAGAACACTGAAACAAGAAGCCCCACTCTTGGGGGCGCTGTGACCTACCCCCCACCCCCACCCCCTGCAAAGAGGCCCTGCTGAACAAACGCAGTGTCAACTGGGGTCCTGACCCCTCCAACTAAATGAGATCACCCCAGGCTCTCCTTGGGAGTTTCAGCGGCTGCATCTGCCTGTATAACCACCTTTGTCCCCATAATTTTAAGAAGACAGAAACCCAAGCCCCATAGCTAGTCCTTTGTTACCTCTGGAAGCCTCAAGTCTCAGCGCAATTGGCTGCCTCATCGGCTAATTTCAAACGTGCCCTTTGCGCTGAATAACTCTGCTGCTATGCAGGTGCTTAGGAAGTACCCCTTCTGCAAAGGACCCTGCTGTGTGGTGCCATTCCCTGCCTTCCAAGGGTGGTACCTAAAGAAAAAAAAATCAACTGGAATCAACACTGAGCACCCCCCACACCCTCCAGAGCAGCACCCCTGTCTAATGTCTGGAGGCTTCCCTTTCTACCTGCTGTCAGGGAGAATCACCAGAATCATGCATGCATACACTCCTTCAGCAAGGGTTCAAACTTCTCTCTGGACATCCACCAGTTGCTTAGACTTGGGCAGTGGTGACCAGTGGTGTGTTATGTGCAGGATACCAAGGGCTGAGAAGGCATTGTCCCACTCTGAGAATTTCTGCCTGGAAGACAGGACCTTTCACCGTTTGCCTCTTGTAAGGGCTATGACAGATACCTGTATGGGGCACAGGGGAGGGTGCCCAGGAGAGGGCAGTTGGCTCTCTCTGGGAGAGATCAAGGTTTCATCCAAGAAGTGAGACTAGAGGTGAGTCTAAGTCTACTTTTTGTGGGGGGAGACGGAATGTGCCACACCTGTCCATGCCCAGGGGTTACTCCTGGTGGCTCTGTGTCCAGGGATCATTCCTGGTGGTGCTCAGGGATGCTTGAGCTCAAACCTGGTTGGCCACGTGCAAAGCAAGCGTCCTATCCACTGTACTATCTCTCTAGCCCCGTAGAGGGAGTCTTAAATGAGGGTGTTTGCCAGACAGAAAGATGAGGAAGAGGATGGAAGGGAACAAGGGGACCTGCATGAATAAAAAGCATGCAGACCCCAAAGACGGAGAAAACCCCCAAGGAAGGAGCAGTGTGGGTAAATCTACAGGGCTTTGTGTGGCCAGGTCACGTGCTCTGGGTCCAGACTCTTCCAGGAGGAAGAGTGAAAGTCTCCGGGAAGCTGCCAGGCTGTGTTGTAACACACCGCAGCAAACAACAACAGGCCCTGTAGATACAGCTGCAGGGTTTTTTTTTTTTTCCTGTCTTTCTTTCTTTTCTTTTTTCTAGGCCAGAGTCTTGTGAGGAACAGGCAGTTCCACAGTTCCAATGGCAGCCGGGCTGGTCCCACCCACTCTCTCAAAAAAAAAAAAAGAAAGAAAGAAAAGAAAAAAAAACCGCACACAAGCTCTGGTCCTCCACTTGCGTCTTCAGCATTTGGAAACAAGTGTGCAAGCATTTCCCTAAACATTGCTGCCCTGCGGCTTTCAGCGCTACCCTGGGCTGAGCTGCCGACACCTGGAGGTGGGGTGGGTGTGTACCTCTTTTGAGTGCACTCAGCAGCCCTCGGCAGTAACTGTCACCAGGGCCATGTGACCCTTATAGTCACACCCCCACCCCCACCCCCACCCCCACGCTTATTTTAAACGCACTCCTGATCCCGTCTTGAAATTACTAACACTTTTTTAACAAGGGGCTGCGCATTTTTATGTTCCACTGGAATCTGTCTATTAGATTGCCACTCCCCCTGTCACTAGTAGTTACCTCTGGGCACATTTGTGATAAATCATATTTCTTTGTTTGGTGGGAGGGAGCCACACCTGGCTCAGGGATTCCTCCTTGCGGTGCTCAGGGAACTACACGAGGTGTCCCTTACCCGCTGTGCTAAAACTTCCCCAGCCCAAAGCATGCTTCATTCTTTTTTCTCTTCTTTTTTTTAAAAAAAATTTTAATTGAATCACTGTGAGATTCGCTGACTGGAGCAATAGCACAGCGGGTAGGGCTTTTGCCTTGCACATGGCCGACCCAGGTTCGATTCCTCTGCCCCTCTCAGAAAGCCCGGCAAGCTACCGAGAGTATCCCACCCGCACGGCAGAGCCTGGCAAGCTCCCCGTGGCGTATTCATTCAATATGCCAAAAACAGTAACAACAAGTCTCACAATGGAGACGTTACTGGTGCCCACTTGAGCAAATCGATGAACAAGGGGAGGACAATGCTACAGTGCTACAGTGCTACTGTTAGATGCACAGTTACAAAGTTGCTCATGATTGGATTTTAGCCATACTATGTTCTAACAGTGTCCCTTCACCAGTGTATCACCACCAATGTCCCCATATTCCCTCCCACTAACCCCTGCCCCTACAACCTCTATGGCAGATTCTTCTTCTCTCTTCTTCTGGGCATTATGGTTTGCCATACAGGTACTGACAAATTATCATGTATATCCCTTTACCTCCTTTCATCACTAAGTTCTTATCCAGAGTGATCATTTCCAACTATCATTGTCATAGTGGTCCCTTCTCTATCTTAACTTCCCTCCCCCTCACCCCACCACTTGTAGCAAGCTTCTAACAGTGGACCAGTCTTTTCTTTTTTTCCTTTTTGGGTCACACCCGGCAATGCACAGGGGTTACTCCTGGCTCATGCATTCAGGAATTAATCCTGGCGGTGCTCGGGACCATATGGGATGCTGGGAATCGAACCCAGGTCGACCATGTGCAAGGCAAACGCCCTATCCGCTGTGCTCTTGCTCCAGCCCCAAGTGGACCAGTCTTTCCTGCCGTTGTTTCTACTGTCCTTAGGTATTAGTCTCATACCATGTATTTTTATTTGGTATGAATGTGATCATTCTATGTTTGCCCCTCTCCCTCTGACTCATTTCACTCAGCATGATACTCTCCACGGTCACGGTCACGGTCACGGTCCTCCCATTGTTCATGGATTTGCTCGAGAGGGCCCAGTAACGTCTCCATCATGAGACTTGTTGTTACTGTGTTTTGGCATACCGAATACGTCACGGGGAGCTTGCCAGGCTCTGCCGTGCGGGCGAGATACTTTCGGTAGCTTGCCGGGCCCTCCGAGAGGGGCGGAGGAATCGAACTCGGGTCGGCCATGTTGGCCACTTGTAAGGTAAACGCCCTACCGCTGTGCTATACTCTCCACATCCATCCATTTATAAGCAAGCTTCATGACTTCATTTTTTTTTGGGGGGGTCATACCCGGCGATGCACAGGTGTTACCCCTGGCTCGTGCACTCAGGAATTACTCCTGGTGGTGCTTGGGGGGCCATATGGGATGCTGGGGCTTGAATCCAGTTTGGATGCTGGGACTTGAATCCAGTTTGGCCGCGTGCAAAGCAAATGCCCTACTTTGCTGTTGCTCCAACCCCTCATGACTTCATTTTTCCTAATAGCTGCATAGTATTCCCTTGTGTGGATGCACCCTAATTTCTTTATCCATTGTCAGTTACTGGGTACTTGGGTTGTTTCCAGATTCTGGCTATTGTGAATACTGCTACAATTTAACATAGACATGCAGATGGTGTTTCTGTGGTGTTTTGAGGCCCCCAGGGTATATTCCCAGAAGTGGTATTGTTAGGTTGTATGGAAGCATGCTTCATTTTGAAATCATTTAGCCTTCGCTATGTTTGTTCACAGGAATTGGCATCCGTTTGAGGCCCACAGTGCCAAGTCAGGCAGGCCATAATTACTAGTCCCACTTATTAGTTGTGAAACTGAAATTTGGCAACTTGCTCCAGGGGGTACAAGTAGGAGGAGAGGGAGCTGATACTAGAACTCAGCCCCTTCTGCTGCGCAGTGATCTCTAGTTGTTTTTTATGCCAATGGGGGTCCCCGGGTGACTTGTGTGAAGTTGGGAGGAGAGAGATGGCAGCTTCTTGAGAAGGAAATCTGCTGTTGTTCTCTCTATCCACCTCTGCCACCCCGGGGAAGTGGCTGGGGAAATCTGGGGCTGATAAGCACTTTGCAGGAAAGGAAAGTCAGTCCTAGACCTTACCCAGGTCTCTTGAGCCCGCTGCCTTTCTCTTGCAGAAAAGGAGTTTTCCTAGGAGACAAGCAGCGAAGAAAAACAGCGAGGCTGGAGTGATAGCACAGGAGGCAGGGCATTTGCCTTGCACATGGCTGACCTGGGTTCGATTCCCAGCATCCCATGTGGTCCCCTGAGCACCACCAGGAGTAATTCCTGAGTGTAGAGCCAGGAGTTACCCCTGTGCATCTCCAGGTATGACCCAAAAAGCAGAAAAAAGAAAAATAGCTTTTATTTTGGACAGAGAGAGAGAGAGAGAGAGAGAGAGAGAGAAACACACTCATCCCAGCACTAAAGTATGAAAGGACACTTCTCAAGAGGGGAAATGTCGGGTTGGAGCTCTAGAGCACTTTCCTTCTCACA